TCTGGTGCAGACTAGGCAAAACTTCAGCTACGTCTCCATGGGGTCAAGAGAATAGTGTTTGAGTCAAAGGACGGATCATTGTTTGAAAGAGACGTGGTTTCAACGGCTTGACAAATGAGAAGGCAAAATCAAGGCCAATCGGGCATGTCATTTGCATGCATGTCAGTTTGTGATGTTTACTAAATAAATGGATTACGATGGCACCTCACAATCTAGCCGGAATGGTGTTTAATCCTGTTATTGTCAATCCTTCATAAGGTTGGGGCCGAAATGGTGTTAAATGGCTTTGTCAAGTTTTCGTTAAAAGCAAGTATGACGAACTCAGTGATTTCTTAATGTTTTAAATACAACTGAACGTATTAATCTTGAGTGAATTAATAGAAAATGACGACTTTAATGGGAGAAAAGATTAACTTCTCTTGACTCCGATATACTATAAGATACTCCCACGTACTTAATTTAACGACTTTCTGGTTCATGTAAGCAGTATAATTCTCAATGATGGGTAACAGAGTCTCGTCTTCGGATACGTGAGTATCTTGTTTGTCTTGCCCTGAGGATACAGCGAGGAAGGTGAGAGATGACCGAAACAATCGATTTTGTCACTGTCTTCTTATCCTAGTCACAACACTACTGGCCTGGTTACCCTGATTTCTACCAGATAGAAGTTTGAGACGTCAAAGATTTTGGCAAAGCTCGATCTTTTGGATAGGGACAAATCAGAAATGACCAGAGGGAATGTAGGGAGAATTCTAACGAACTTGAAGATGATGTAGAGAGTCATGGTGACCCGGTGTGCTTGGTTGAGAACATTGAGCCATGGCAAGGCGTAAATTGTACTAATACTAGCCACTTGAAGACGCAGCCGGCATTCTTTATGTCGATCGAAGTTTACTGTTTGACCTTTTTTTGTCTTGTTCTGCGATCACTACCGTGATGCACAGGGCAAGTATACGTGGATGATATCCTGAATCTCGAACCAAGTTGTTCAAGGTTCATATCCTAAGTATCGGATCGGATATACAGTACCTTAAGCAGTGCCATTGTAAGCAAACAGATCAACATATCAGCTTAGGTGATGGTGTTAGCCTTCATTTTGTCCTTTTCAAAAGGAATTAGGAGATATGCCCTATTGAATTCCATCCACTAAACATGAAAACAAACATAGCAAGGACATAACCCATGTCAGTGGCACTAGTAGTGTAACACTATGCACATGTCCTCTTTAGGGGCATTGACTCCTTTGTTGAAACACCTCAGCGCAGGCAACGGAGTAAAGAGTGTTAGTGCCAGTAATTTCCAAGCAGATCCTACGGAGGCAAGGCAGTATCCATTGGCCAAGGACTCTGTGACCATTAGCCACCGAATAATGGTGACTTCTTGGCCTATGAATACTACCTTCCCAGTCTGTATCTGTATCGGTGTAGCCGGTATAACCGCCATTCGGCGTAACACACCAGCTTCGCAGGCACGCGGCGCGGCGGCAGCCAGTGTAGGATCTGCTTCGATATTAAGTGCCAGGTTGTGCCCGTTTCAAAGCGCTTAATTATAGATGCCCCGGTACAGCGTGTTTTTTCTAGAATCCGTGCTGTCCCAAAGTCCACCACATTCCGATAAATTGGATCCGTGAGAGTTTTTTCTTCTCTACATCCTGACCCTGTCCCACAGTTTTAACCCTTGAGATTATGCTAAAGTACCGAAAACCTTTTCGGAAAGGACTTTTGTCAGGCGCTGCTCATGTGAAACCGGGTGACTGGATTAGGGTTAAGTGAAAGTTTGCACGCAGTAGACGCTGTTCAAAGTCCTTCTGAATGTTGGTTCGTAGCCTTCAAAATCAATCGGTGTAAACCCGAACCGCGTTATTCTGATCTACCAATGTATTTGTATCTGTATCTATATCTAGTGCCCAATTGAGTTACAAAAGGTATGAATTTGAGGAGTCCATATCATCATGCAGTTGATATATCATACAATTGATGTAATAAGTCAACCAGTCTTCAGAGGCGGCTGAAAAGAGTGGACATTAGCCAAATAGACGGATAACATGCCAGGGGAGTTAGTCCGCTTCAAGAGTACATTTTGCCGCTTTCCGAAGCCTGATAGACTACTTGTAGAGGCTAGAAAGCTCTCGGGTACTAGGTACAGACGGCTTTCTTCACTCGCACATCCTGACATGTTGGCAGCTGGTGTGTTATTGCGCGGGGGTCTGGTCAAACCCATTAATCTTCAAGCAGATACAGGGTTTCTAACGTCTGTTGTTTTTGCGTCGTTTTGTAGGTCGTTCTAGTGGTTCACGTTTGTGTAGCTTGTGCCGCAAATACACCTAGAGCGCCAAAAAAGACGTGCAAAATAAACAGGAGCCACACATGTTCCTAAGGATTATTAGCTTACGCCGTCCCGTGGCGTGTTCACCATTCAGAGCTAGCGCTAACCGTGTAAGAGTGCACCACAACAATTCGCACATTAGAGAGGGGTCAGTGCGACCGAGTGCGGCCGGCTCGTGGGAGGAAACTGTCGGAATTCCCCTGCCGACTCCCGCTCATTTGTCTGCCGCTCCGCTGTCAGAGTGAAGTACATCCGTTCTGACAGATTCCTGCTACTTAAATCGGGATTTATCCCTCTTGCTGCGCGTTTGGAAGTCTTCTTGTGTACTGAACGGCGCGTTTCTTTGATACTGACGCATGCTATAAAAACGCGATTCGACCCCACTGATTCATACCTTCTTTCCCCAATTCTATCGCTCAAAGGTTGCACTACGGTCTCTAATTAAGTACGCGTGGTGTGCTAAGATGTTTTTGTAGGTTAACAGTCATTTTTTAAGCTTACAGGAAAGAGAAAAGGCTGTCGGTAGTTCAAAGCTAGCGAAGTAAGAAGTCTACCTTGTATAATGTACTTTCTTTTGCATCGGGGGTAATTATATCATTAGTCACGTAAAGATCCTACAGGTGTCCAGTCATCTTTTAATTACTATAATTATCATCTTTTAATTACTGTAATCCTCCAGACGGTGACAAGTGGTTGTTGCAGACATGACACGTGATCCGTCACTTCCTAATCTCCAAGCAGAAGTGCGGTGGAAGATCGTAAAGTTTTCTGACACAGCAAACAGACATGCCGGTCAGGAAACGTTACTTTCTACCGCAACATCTGCTTGGAGATTAGTCATTTCCCTCTGCATAGTTGTATACCTCACATATAGCGGGAATTCGTCTAGACTTAGGAAACGGTAAGAACTGTAAAACTGCCCTCTTCCGGATTTAACTGAAGTAAATGTCATTGGAGATTAGTTGATGTAACTATACGTTAGCCAATGGGAAGTATGACCTGTTTGGTGCAACGCGACGACTCTTAGTAATAGATTGAACAAGCCAGAACAAAAACCAGTAATCTGAAAAGCATTCTGTTTTATGTACTGCTTGTGATGCACATCAGTTTGTCACTTTTCTAATAGGTATCTTTCTCTTCATGTGTGTGTGTGTGTGTGCGTATGTGTGTGTGTGTGTGTGTGTGTGTGTGTGTGTGTGTGTGTGTGTGTGTGTGTGTGTGTGTGTGTGTGTGTGTGTGTGTGTGTGTGTGCGCGCGCGTGTGCGCGCGTGCGTGCGTCTAGCTCTCTATTTGGTCCATGATTCGAAGCATAGTAAAGACTACGTACCTTGTATGACCATGACCGTTAGTACATACAGCAGTCCTCCCTTTACACACTGCATCATAGCTTGTTGGCAGCGAAGGCTTATCTACGCACGAAACAAGTGTTCACACACGTTAATCACTGCAGCTTCTCGCTGTCACCACTCGCGTCCTAAGCTCGCCCGTGGACTAGTGTCGGCCTGACTCGACTTCTGCGTTTTATATACTGTAGACGCCGCTGTTGTTTCCGGTCCGAACAAGTCTGATACCGGTACGGATGAGCTGGTCAAAACTGCTAGCGTGTTACGCCGAAGGGCGGTGATACCGGCTGCGCAGCAGGTATACGGATATTAAATGACGAATACCACTTCCTCTACTCGCCGTCCGCGATCCGGGCCAAGGAACTTCCTGTTATCAGCCTTGTGTGACGATAGTTTCAGGACGATAGTTTCACGGAGAAAAGACGGCCTTGTCGGTCTGTTACCTACACTTACTAGTATTCTTTGTGGGGTCCGCCGAAGCTTTGTTTGCATCGTCTGGGTGACTACGAGTATTGTGAGTGCAGTTAACAATGTGATCGCAAGGAGGCTCTTCTACGGGTTCAGAGAAGTGTATGTTCACTCACTGGAACATACATTGGATATTAAAGGATGTATGTTTTTTATGTGCCTGAAGCTTTATGATTAAACTCAACAAAATTATACCAAGGAGGTTCAAAATCTTCATTACACTCAACGATTGTGTGCTTTACAACCTACATTGTATAGCAACAACATGCCCATACAGTTTTTTTATTATTATTATTTTTTATTACAATGGATACATACATCACATACAATTTAGAAACATTTAAAAAATCATCATTGTATCATTACATCAGTTGTCCAATTCCTGGACATGGTGTGAGGGAAAGAAGGATGCGAAAACATGCACATACAGTTCTAGGAAACGCCTTTAATTTATAAAAGACTAATGTACATGTGAAATAGTACTGGGGAGTAGAGGATGACACAACTAGTCTCGTGTTTGAATAAAGAGCCACACCTTGAGCATGTTAAAGATCCCACCACACATCGAAAATATGTGAGTCTATCAAACCTGGTCCGGTCTTGCATGGCCTGTACTTAATGTATAAAACTGGCCAGTTTATTGAAGGTACCTAATCTCCAAGCAAATCCTACGGTAACAAATATCCATTGGCCAGATGAATGGCTAATGGACACTCCACTGGTCAATGGATACTACCTTGCCATCGTAGTATCTGCTTGGAGATTAGAAGGTACCGGTCAGTGACCTGACTGACCACTGGGGTCATGATAAGTGCAGAAGGACAAAGGTCACTTGGAAATTAGGTCATTTTAGCCACACTTTGCATCAAGAAACTGGACAAATATACAGTGTACACGGTGACCTGTGTATGTGGAGTATTTGTGCTTAACGTCTGTACTCTGTAACCTTTCGACTCCAACTTGGATTACATATTTCAAGACATTTTCTGTATCAGTTTCGGGTTTTTCTATTGTGTGAGCATATCCTGAGCCAGAATCTGTGGAGGAAGACAGAACCCTTGCACTAAACGTAATCGACAAGGTAAGAATCGATCTGTCCCTCGTGTGTGTAAATAGGTCCCAATCCTATCTTATTTGTCAAGTAGGGTTGTTCACTTACCCAGTACTAGTGTTTGTGTGAAACGCCGCCATAGCACCTGGGCTATACATATAGAATACAACACGGGGTATTCCGTATCGCCTGAGGTATCGGCCCGACCGCGGGTCGGATCGCCCGACGGCCGCAGGCCGGAGGGCGATCCGACTCGCGGGAGGGCCGGGACCGAGGGCGATGCGGAATACACCGTGTTGTATTTTATTTATGTCATGCCCACCCAAGAAAACACGCCTTTCAATGCAAGATGAGCCAAAAGTTGATGCCACTTGTCCCTAAAATGTAACAACATCAATTCCAACGTCCGGATTCTGTATTCGAATTTTCGAAAGGGGCACAAGCGGGTAGGGCGAAATGCGTTCGAATCGTTTATGGAAGCCATGGAAGCGTTCGATAACGGGTTCCGGACCGGGCCGTACCGTACCGTACGGCCCGGTCCGGAACCCGTTATCGAACGTTATCGCGGCCCGGGTATGATATAAAGTCCTATACTACAGTAGAAGAACAACTCAGAGCTACCTATCATCCAAATTTTGTGACACTTTATAGTAGCTTGTCTAGATCATGAGGTATCAAAACTGGTATTTCCGTGTTTACAGACGCGCGCGCACACACACACATACACTCACACACAGTGACACAAACCTTCTTAGCGAATGTAATGACAGTCTCATAAGGCACCTGTAAGCTCCGATCTATTTCAGAGTTGTTTTCTACAGATCCACCTCTCCTCCTGTACAGTGCATCAGTGAACACGGCGACACGATGAGCCAAGAGCGTCCCTCGTCGTTTTACTTTAAAGGAGTGCGTTTCGACAATTCGTCGAACCTAAAGGCCTTGGAACTGGTGGAATCATTTGAAGTAAGAGAGGACGACGTCTTCATCTCGGCGTACCCTAAATCGGGTGAGAATCATAAGACTTCGCCTTCTTTTTTCTTGGCATGGTCTTGCGAGAATCTTTTATTTTTGGCAAAACTACATCTCACAGTATCTGAGTATGGCCGATATAACCACCCCTCAGCGTAACACGTGAGCTTCTGTATCATGCTGTATAGCCGGTATAACCGTCCTTAAGTGTAACACACCAGCTTCTGTATCTGTATAGCTGGTATAACCGTCCTTAAGTGTAACACACCAGCTTCTGTATCTGTATAGCCGGTATAACCGTCCTTAAGTGTAACACACCAGCTTCTGTATCTGTATCTGTATAGCCAGTATAACAGCCCTTCAGCGTAACAACGACCAGCTCAACCGTAGGCCATATCCTCTTCTTCTTCGTCGCTAACAGGAACAACATGGACACAGCAGATCGTCTCTCTGGTGTGTGCTGAGGGCGACATCAGTGAGCTCTGCAAAGTCCCTCTGCAAGCTCGCACGCCTTGGCTGGAGACGCTGGACATGTCAGGAAGGTTGGGTGTCGGTGCTGGCGAGCCCAGGCCGATACTACTAAAGAGCGCCCCCTCTCCGCGACTGATGAAAACGCACCTGCCCTACCACCTGTTACCTCAGCAAGCCAGGGACGGGAAGGGAAAGGTGCTGTTCATTGCTATTCAACACTTATATACTCTTTTTGCTCTGTTTCTTCTTCTTCTTCTCCAAACACAAAAGGTCAATGACCTGGACCAGACGTCTGTCTGGTGCTGTAGCAGACACCAATTATGCATCTACTTTCGAAATGTGAGCTCGGGTGGAAAAATGTCTACATTTCTTTCTTTTTCTATTTTACTAGATCATCTACTGTGCTCGGAACGTCAAAGATGTGGTTGTTTCGTGGCACAACATGAGAAGGATGGTGGAGCATGTTCCCTGTGGAACTTGGGAGGAAAACTTCCAGGACTTTATTACTCCGGACCTAGGTCAGTATTCGGCTGCATGTATCAAATCTCAGGAACTAACATGAGACTAATATCACTTTTTTTTATTGTATATGTCCATTATATTTTTATATGTCATTTGAGGGGACGGGATGAATTGATTTCTTGTGATTCTCAGCATGGAGGTAGCTTAGGTAAAGACTGATATACTTAGATATCGAATATGCAAATTGTGGTTTAATTTCACGTTACAAATATATAATCAAGATCGTGCTTTATCGAATGAACAGCTTTCTATGGTTTCTGGTGGGACGTCATCCCGGAGTACTGGCGACACAAGGATGACGACAACTTGCTCTTCATCAAGTATGAAGACCTCAAGCGGGTAGGTTTAAAATTTGAATTGCATATTTGATATTATGACGTGATCTCTAGGTAAATATGGCGGGGAAACTTAAATATATCGATCGTTAGACAGAGGCTGTTCTGTTTCCCGAATCACGTTCCTCCATGTTCGATCTGACGTCATTCGAACAGAACGCATGTTCCATTTGGGGTTACTGGCGATCAGTTATCATTTATGGGTCGACGCTGATTGGATACAGTGTTTATGGGATCTTAATCACCACTAGTAAGGTTATTGTTTTGTCATAACCAATGTGAAATAGGGATTTCAGATTTTGTAGTCAATTTTTTTATCTTTGTTATTAGACTGTGTACAAGTAACGGTCCTCTTAACGTTATATGATGTATGTAGGACTTGCGGGGCCACGTGGTGATGATAGCAGACTTCCTAGGCAAGACTCTGTCAGACCAACGAATCGATGAGGTGGTGGCGAACTGTACCTTTTCCGCTATGAAGGAGAACCCGTCTACAAACTATTCCCGCAACCCAATGCTGCAGAAGGTTTTCAGCAAGGTGGAAGGAAGCGGCATTGAGTTCATACGCAAAGGTACTTGTCTTTAATGAACTTCACTTTTCCATTTCGTATGTACGGTGATGTGGTGTGTGACAAGTGGTTATAATCACTGAATAAACCACCGAGTGAGTGAAGCGAGATTATGCTTAAAAGCTCAACTTCATGTCGTCCTCAAATCTAGTCCTTTTTGTTCAATATTCACTTTGACTTCTGATTCATTTGTGTCAATGTGTGTGAGAGAGAGACAGAGAGAGGGAGAGGAAGAGAGAAAGAGAGAGAGAGACAGGGGGGAGAAAATACAAGAATTACTTTAGAGTCATGACACGTATTTTTATGAATCTCAGGAGAGGTTGGTGACTGGAAGAACTGGTTCAGCGCGGAAGAGAACGAGACTCTGGAGGCGATTCACAAGGAGAAAATGGCGGGAACAGATCTGAGTTTTCAGTATGAGTAGTGTCTGTTGGTCGCCAGTGACCCCAAATGGAACATGCGTTCTGTTTGAATGACGTCAGATCGAACATGGCGGAACGTGGTAATAGATCAGGGTTTTAGTAGTGTCTGTTATGGTACAGTGACGTTCGTCTTATGCCGCCGTTCGATTTTGATGACAATGGCAATGAACTTTATCTGTTATTGTAAATTGATTAATGAATTAAACGCTCTACATGGCTATCACAGGAACAGAATGAAACTCTTGAAGCAATCTACCGGGAAAAAATGAAGTGCTTTTGATCTGACTTTTGAGTTCGAGTAGTCTCACAAAGAACACTGCATAGTCCTAATATCAAAGGCAACAGATATCCGAGATGTTGTGATGCATTTAATAAAATAAAGGTCATGATTCTTAAATATGACCCACGTCTCTTCAGTGTGCTTTTCCATTAAGCTACGTCTGCTCACCTTATACTTTTAGTACTCTCCAAGCAGAGGTCTGGTGTGTTGTACTTTTTAAAGCCTTTTAGACGTTTTGCCAGACTTTCTATTCTGTCCACTTTTATTTCTGTTTCCTGGCCAAAAGAAAAGCCGACAAAATAGAGACCGGGACTGTAAAACGCAGAAAAAAAGCAATAAAGAAAGACATCCTAAAACAGACCAAACCTCTGCTTGGAGAGGATACAACTAGCACGCAAGAATTCTCCATGGACGTCGACCTATCATGACAATCGAATTAACCTTTCCAACCAATGACAGCCTGGCAATCGTTATTTCGACCAATGAGAGTGCGGCTGCATACTGAGTCAATCCGATTACCAGTTCAACCAATGGCAGCTTGGTAATCTTAAGTTTGACCAATGAGGGAGTGGCGTCATTTCCGTGAACTATTTGTCATCTCTGTTTCTAGCGGGACATTTGGGGATCTACCAAAGACTGGTAGGAGGGGGAGGGCTACTTTTTTTAAGTGTATATATAACGACATAGAACAACAAATACTGAGCTCTATCTATACGGAAACTTCTACTAACTGCGCAGCAATTTTTGAAGGATTTTAAGGGCGGCATTTCCGTTCTCTTAAATACCCCTCCAAAAGAAAATGTAACAGCATCAACCATTAGCAGCATCAACCATTAATAGTGGAGGTTTGTATTAAAATTTTGATCCAGTATGAGTTGAAAAACGCATCACAAAGAGACCTCACAAGATTCTATATCCTTGATGTATTTCTCGATATGTATGGCGTTTGTTGATTTGTTTCATAGAGTGGGGCAAAGATGTTGAAAAAACATTTTGGTTTTACGTTTCTACCGATTTACCAAAATGTTACAGTCCTGACCAATCACAAGCGAGGATTCTGATGGAAAATTCCGTCCAAACTTTTCCCACCATTTGTGAAGCTGAACCCACCGGACGAACATCCTGCGTACGGCCCAGAGTTTACAAGCGCGAGGCGGCGGCATACAATGTAAGCCTTTTCTCCTTTTCTAGCGGTAGAATTACACTGGCTATCCACGTATTACCTTTTGTGGTGTTCGTAGAGAAATTGACGTATCTGAAGATGACTTTTGAGACGTTTTTCGTAGGATTTTTTTTAAATTTCCTTCATCTGCATGTGGCCCCCGGCAAGCTTTCCTGGAAATTGTACGTTTTCCTGTCCATAATTCCGTGAACATCTCTAAATTCTTCATTTTTCTGTGACTGTGATATCCAAGATCACGTAGACTGCGTGTAAGTGGAGTTTCAAACCGAAATTTTAGCAATTTTCTGTCAAGAATGTTCTTAGTCAAAGATTACGAGTCCGTTCGAACCACCTGCCAATCACCCGTTGCCCGTAGTTACCGGAGATGTTTTGGCCGTAATTTGACCAAGAAATTTCGTTTTCTCGGACTTTTACCTCAGAATCATCGCAATAGGTGCTCCGGCATTTATTCATGTCATTCAGTCTTTCATTTTTCTTCGTAGAACTGGAAAAATGTGCTATCATACCGTCCGGGCGGCTCGCGGTAATTTATGCTCAGTCCCGGGCCGATTTTCCCGCCACAAATCATGTGGCGTTATTTGAAAGAACTGAAGCCAAACGCATTTATAGTATTTTATTTAGACAGACAGTGTCAAATTAGTGAAGGTTTCTGTTATGAAAATGTATATTTGCATGTTTTTTGTTGGCTTTTTGCCTGATTTTGGTCCAGCCTCTCGGCTGATTTATCTGTCAATCACCGGTCGCCCGTAGTTACCGGTAATTGTTTTGGTCGTAATTTCTCCCATAACTGACGTTTTCGCACACGTTTACCACAGAATCAACGTAAAAAAGTGTTCAGGAATTTATCAGTGTCGCTCGGCGTTTCATTTTTGTTCGTTAAAACTGGAAAATGTATTTTACTGTGTTCTTACCGTTGGCACTGGTCCCGGTAATTTATGTTGAGGCCCGGGCCGCTTTTTCCGCCACAAGTCTAGTAGCGTTATTTGAAACTACTGAAGCCAAACGCATTTATAGCACTCTATTTAGACAGACAGTGCCAAATTAGTAAAGGTTTCTGTCATGAAAATGTATATTTGTGTGGTAATTCTTGGTTTTTGCCCAAATCTGGTCCAACCTCTTGGCTGATTTATCTGTCAATCACCGGTCGCCCGCAGTTACCGGTAATTCAGTCCTGGGATGCGGTTCCCGCCACAATTCCTGTGGCGTTTTTTTGTAACAATTTCAACTGACCGTGTATTGTTTATGTCATCATATTTTAACAGCATGTGTCAAATTAGTGAAGGTTTCTGTCATAGAAATGTATATTTTTATGTTTATTGTTGCTTTTTGCCCGATCTCGGGCTAGCTCGTCGGTTGATTTACGTGTGAATCACCGGTTGCCCGTAGTTACCGAATATGTTTTGGTCATGTTTCGCGCCATGGTTCTGCCCACGGTTCTTGCTTTTTAGGCACTGTTACGCCTGTTTCTTTATATAAGCATGTAAATACACGAGTTTCTGACATTTTAATCATATCCTTTTACACTGCTAGATATTTATCCCTCCTCAAAAAGTTGTCTTTAAAACTCTTTCCCTTTGCACACAGGGGCGCCCCCTGATAGCAGAAGATGGTACTGCAACGCTCCAAAGGTTCTGGCTGAATCTGAACTGAAACGATGGACTGGATTGAGGGGCTCATTCATTTCTACAAGACGTCTCCTGAAGGAAGCAAGCTTCACGAAGACGACTTGACCAGATGAGATTTTATTTTTTTTACCGTCAAACATATTAGGTAATTATATAAGGGTCGGGGGGCGTTGGGAGACTTACGTCATCTCTAGTAAACAGTTTATGTAGGGAATGTTTGGACGTTGGATGTGCCTTGTAGGAATTATTCCATTGTAATATCTAAATAATTTTGTCACATAGAAGTTTGGGGAGCAGGGATACAATTTCGTTCGTGTTGTAGAGAAGTAGGATTGTCACTTGTCATAATGTAGTCTACAATTTAGTAAATGAAATTGAAATTCTTGGTGTTATTTTGTGCACCCGTTTATGCCATGGCCTGCTCTCTGATGCTCACGTGCACTTAACGTTTAGATTTAGCGACGGTAAGTTAAACACAGGGAACGTTAGGGAACGTAGTTAGTTGTCGAAGTGTGTGTGACACACAGGGAGCAAAATCCTGGCCTTCAAAAAGATTGCTTTTGTACAAGGCACACCAAAAACTTAGCTAGTACTTGTGATTGCATTTTTGTGAACAGGTCAAGCCAGACCGCCCAGCTGAGATGCCAGAGGTAAGCCATGTGGGGACTGCATGCTGTACTAACATGTACGTTTTTTTCTCCCTTGACAAAATTGGGGGGACCTACAAACTCGCGTAGCACTCGCGTTGGGTTAGGGCCAAACCATAACTAACCTGTCTTTCCTTTACTCCGGCAACCTCCGGCCATTTCATGTTTTATTTGTCCCATGCTGGGGAAGGGAAAGCCTGGTTTATATACCAGAATAAATATTATCTCCTGAGTGTTTATCCTCTCGAGTAATAGGTTCTGGTAACCAGGCTATGGGAAACCGGGGTCCTTGGAATTCCTTTATAGATAGATCTGACGTTCATAGTTGGAGGCAGATCGTGGTCTTTACCATCCAAACTGCTTGCTGTGCTGTCAGTCTTCATTCGAGGAAGGAAGCAAGCTTCGACGAAGACTACAAGACCAGATGAGATTTTTTTTCTTCCCGTTAAATGTAACGAGTAAGGGTGGGCGGCGTTGTAAGACTTTAAGCCAGAGTTTATACTACATACCTTGTCTGGTCTGAACAGTTTAGTAACACAGATTCAAAAAGTACAGGGACTTTTGTATGGTCTTCTACCACTAAAGATCTAAGTAGCACCCAGAAACAGGGTACGAGGGAGGGAGTATGGAGTGAATTTGTTTCTTCTTCAGTTTGACATTATAGACAGATCCTGACGTTCATCGTTGGAAGCAGATCGTGGTCTTTACCATCCAAACTCCTTGCTGTGCTGTCAAGTCTTCATTCGAGGAAGGAAGCAACCTTCGACGAAGACTACAAGAACAGATGAGATGTTTCTTTCTATCCGTTAAATGTAACGAGTAAGGGTGGGCTACGTTGAATGACTTTAAGCCAGAGTTTATACTACATACCTTGTCTGGTCTGAACAGTTTAGTAACACAGATTCAAAAAGTACAGAGACTTTTGTATGGGTAACGAGTAAAGGTGGGCGACGTTGAAAGACTTTAAGCCAGAGTTTATACTACGGTAACCAGGCTACGGGAAACCGGGGACCTTCCAAAATGTTTTTCTCTTCTTTTTAGTTTGACTTTGAATACAGATCCTGACGTTCATCTTTGGAGGCAGATCGTGGTCTTTACCATCCAAACTCCTTGCTGTGCTGTCAGTTTTCATTCGAGGAAGGAAGCAAGCTTCGACGAAGACAACAAGAACAGATGAGATGTTTCTTTCTTCCCGTTAAATGTAACGAGTAAGGGTGGGCGGCGTTGTAAGACTTTAAGCCAGAGTTTATACTACATACCTTGTCTGGTCTGAACAGTTTAGTAGCACCCAGAAACAGGGTATGAGGGAGGGAGTAGGGAGGGGGATGGAGTGAATTTGTGACTAACTTCTGTTTTGCCTTTCCAGTAGACCCCACCTCTTCACGTTGCCAGAGGGACCATGAAGGAAGCCAGCAGAACTTCATAGGACAAAATAATTGTCTTCAACTGATATTCATTCAGTCGAAGTGCCATCCTGCCACGTCAGCCAGCTGCGTTAGCGATCTAGGTAAGTTGGAAGGGAGGCAGCTTTATCTTACATAACAAATGTTTTTAATTTTTTGTTTTGATTTTTTGAAATTGTAGCAGTATAATACATGTGGAGCACAGGCGGCTGTTGCTAGTGCTGTGTCACACACATAGAATATTACAAACGTATACAAAAATATAACTAGATCTGGTGCTTACCAATAAAATTTAAAGTAGAATAACATTATGATACATCTAATCTTCCGTTACGTCTCAGATCCTTCCACATTCCTGTATGTTTCTACCACCTCAAACAGCTGGCTCCAAATCGCTCTTTCCTTTTGCACACAGACGCAGCCCCTGATAGCAGAAGATGGTACTGCAGCGCACCACGGATTCTGGCTGAATCTGAACTGAACGATGAACTGGATGTGGGACTGAGGGCTCATTCATTTGTACCAGACGTCTGCTGAAGGAAGCAAGCTTTACGAAGACGACTAGACCAGATGAGATTTTTCTCTTTTTTTTCCCCTCGTCAAATGTAAAGAAAAGAGTTTGGATTTCCATTGGCGTATTTAGTTATGCATTTGCGAATTTTTCCCATTTTGGATTTGCATCAGCGGATTTTGACCTTCATTTTCCCATTTGGATTTACATTTGCGTACTTCGACCAGCATTCGCGGATTTTGACCTTCATTTTTCCCATTTTGGATTTGCGGATTTTGACCTTCAATTTCTCATTTAAGATTTGCATTTTCGGATTTTGACCTTCATTTTCCCATTTGGATTTGCATTTGCGAATTTTCACCTTCATTTTCTCAAGATTTGAATTTGCGGATTTTAACCATTTTCCCATTTGGATTTGCATTTGCGTACTTGGACCAGACTTTGCGGATTTTCACCTTCGTTTTCCCATTTTGGATTGCATTTGCGGATTTTGACCTTAATTTTCTCATTTAAGATTTGCATTTGCGGATTTTCACCTTCATTTTCCCGTTTGGATTTGCATTTGCGAATTTTCACCTTCATTTTCTCAATTAAGATTTGAATTTGCGGATTTTAACCATTTTCCCATTTCGATTTGCATTTGCGTACTTGGACCAGCATTTGCGGATTTTGACCTACATTTTTCCCATTTTGGATTGCATTTGCGGATTTTGACCTTAATTTTCTCATTTAAGATTTGCATTTGCGGATTTTGACCTTCATTTTCCCATTTGGATTTGCATTTGCGAATTTTCACCTTCATTTTCTCAAGATTTGAATTTGCGGATTTTAACCATTTTCCCATTTGGATTTGCATTTGCGTACTTCGACCAGAATTTGCGGATGTTCACCTTCGTTTTCCCATTTTGGATTTCCATTTGCGGATTTGGACAAGCATTTGCCAATTGGATGGCATTTCATCACCAAGCCAGCCTGCCAAGTCAGCCAGCTGAGTTAACAATCTAGGTAGGTATCTAAACTTGCTTTTGTATTTTCTATTAGTACGGATAAGTAATATCCACTAATTTAGGGTTTTTGTTTTAGAACTTTCAGGTGAGGTTGCTTGGGGGATGATTCTCTATGCCTGGAGTCTCTTGCAAGCTTTACGAAGATGGTGACGCCAAATAACAGGTATATAATAACTGTTTTATTTGATCAACACTTAAAAAACTGTCAAATTTTTCTTACTTATGATATGGCATATTTCCTTACTTCAGACTTTATTATTATTATTTTCAGGTAACACTGCTGTAAGACTCGTCCTGAATGTCGACTGAAGGAAGCAAGCTTCACGAAGACGACTAGACCAGATAAGATTTTCCCTTTCATCCCGTCAAATGCAAAGCGTAAGGGTGGGAGTGTGGGAAGATTTTAAGCCAGTCTCACTACTACATGTCTTGTCTGGTTTGGATGGTTTGCAATGCATTTTATGTAGAGTCTGTTTGGACGTTCAAAGTACCGGCGCTTTTACGTCCATTTGCGCGTTTTGAGCTGCACCGTTACGTGTTGACTTGCATGTGCGCATTTTGATTTGCATTTGCGTATTTTGATCTACATTTTCCCATTTCGTATTTGAATTTGCGGATTTTGACCTTAATTTTCCCATTTGGATTTGCATTTGCGGATATTGACCTTCATTTTCTCATTTAAGATTTGCATTTGCGTATTTTGACCTTCATTTTTCCATTTGGATTTGCATTTGCGTACTTGGATCAGGATTTGCGTATTTTGACCTTCATTTTTCCATTTTGAATTTGCAGTTGCGGATTTTGACCTTCATTTTCTCATTTAAGATTTGCATTTGCGGATTTTGACCTTCATTTTCCCATTTGGATTTGCATTTGCGGATTTTGCGGATACAAGTCGCATTTGGATTCTTCCGTGCCATCATTTTGAAACTGCTTTTTCTGGGATCGTCTGAACCGGAATAACGGCCAGCTAGGTGAGTTGTTACTTTCTTTACTAATCCAGACATCCAGAAACAAATCACACTAACATTGTAATTTGTCTCTTTTGTCTCTTTAGTCTTCCAGTTAATGTTGACAGGTGGACCATGAGAAAAGTCAGTTGAACTTGAAATGAGAGGACAAAAGAAATTGTCTCCAGCTGATATTCTTTCTCGTGTAGCCTGAAATATTCCAGCCAGGCCATTTGCTTGGATTCTAATTGGCACTCAGTTTTGGTAACTTTGACGCTCATCCTCACATGCCCACCAACAGCTTTTGCACGTTACGTTAAATTTTCAGGCCTTGTGTGCACTTGGCTCGAATTCCGTATTACACGTAAAAAAAACTGTTGCAAAAAATTCATTGTTATCAGTAAGAAATATAAAATTGTCCTTTTCTGGCAATAGGAAACCGGTCAAAATCTGATCTGCTTTAGTTCCCAAATTGTTTGCGAGCCAAGTGATACTCTAGACTTGAAGCATTCCTGTTCGGTTGGTTCTTATGTGCATGGAGAAGGTTGGTGGTTGTGAGCAGGATGACGTCCCAAATTTCCTCAGCAATGGAGGTACACCTTGACGTGGTGCTGGGGCTTTTGCTAAGATGCCTCCCACAAAATTAAGTAACGATAACACGTTAAGCTGTGGTCTACTACAAAGGAGGGGACTGCTGAAGTATTCCCAACACTCGATGGTGAAGGTGAGACATCCAAGTAATAAGATACGCCAAAATCTAGTTACTCATTAATCTGGATTTGATTTTGAAAACACCCCCTCATCGAGAGACTGCATTTAGCTATAAGCTGTCCGTTATCTCCCAAGATTTCAGGGGATGGATGAAGGATGGATGTGCTCACTGTTATACCTACTTGAATATAGTAATGAAGTATTTAACTTAACAGAATCAAGGCACACTCCCATTTACTAATAGACGAAGGATATTTAATCGAACGTTCAACGACTATTTTGGGCCAATATTACCACTTTTGTCAGTTTCAACTCTGTCTTACAGGTCATACCAATTCAGAGACAAAAATGTTTGAAATCCATTTCTTTATCAAGTTTCCGTATTTAGTCTATACATAAAAACCGTGCCAGACTCAACAATCAAGTAGGCCACATTGAGAATAATTCCCAAGACTAGAGTCTATTAAGTTTAAGTAAGTATGAGTCGCTACTAAGAAGTAGAGCAATGTGAGTTGCATCCTCAACCAATCACACTGGGTCACTCTATATACGTTTGAGTGTGTTGAGTTCCTTACTCCACCCTAAAAGTACTAAGAATGCCCATGAAGTTGAGATAGGCCTTCTCCGAGAAGATGTAGCAGTGCTGGCCCTCGTGCATGCTCGGATGCTTGTGGACGTTGTGCCCGGCTGCGTACTCGACGACAAGGCCCTCTCCGACCGCCAGGTGAAGCTTGTTGAGCTGGACCCGGTCGCCGTTGCGGTCCATCCCGGTGCTGACTGAAATTGTGCCCTCCAGAGGAAGGCCGATGTTGAGCTGGAAGTAGTCGTCAGTGAGGGGTTGATCACCTGTGTTCGCGGAGACAGGAAGAATTTGGTTATAATCAAAATTATTGACAAAAGACTGGAAGCAATGATCTGTTTCTTTGAGCTTTTGTTTATTAGAATAACTTCATTGCACCAGAAATGTACATGGTACATTATGTATGCATGGCAACGACGTTTGAACATAGTTCAAAAATACTAGTACTTAGTAGTCAGATCGGCCCACTGGCCAAGTTATTTTAGGTCTTGATTAAAGAGGTAAGGGTTGGGAAATATGTAACAAAGTTAACTGAAGTACTAATAAACTCACATACAGGTGTAATAGACCCATATCCTTACACACACACACACACACACACACACACACGGTATTAAAGAAACAACAAAATTATATTTAAGTTGAACATCCTTACCTAAGTTCATGGCGATGAGGTACCCCGGTGCTCCCTCTAGCTCCCTGACGAAGGCGAAGGTGTTTGTGTTGTAAAGGACGTAACAGAACCACCCCCTGTGGATCGCCAGATGGTTCAGTCCACGCATACCCACCAGTGCCTTGTACATGCTTAGAGCTGAATCAGTGGCAGATGATTGTTCCTGTTGGTGAGAAAAGGTCGTCATTTCAGCATGTACGTTCATATGTGTTGGGTATAGAACATAGGTAAGACCCAGAACAAGATAATTCCATAAGGCAGAGAAGGAAGCTGTGTGCTATATCAACCCACAAAAGGTGGACAGACACACAAAAACTGACATCAGCCACTCAAAACTATACTTCCGTAGCCGGGAAACATGACTGCATGAATGAGTGAAGGACTTACATGTAAACCTTGACTACTTGTTGGTATGCTTCTGTATCCGGAAATAATGAATGAATGACAGAATTACCTCAACATTTACTACTTCTTAGTACGATTCCTTTCCCCGGAAATTAATGAGTGAGTTAGTGAGTGAATGAATTACTGACAATGCTACCTTAACCTTGACTACCTCTTGGTATGCTTCCTTACCCCGAAAAATAATGAATGAATGAATAAATGAATGGCAGTATTACCTCAACGTTGACTCCCTGTTGGTAGTCGTCATTGACCGGCAGCCACGTTGTCCATCCCTCCGGCCCTGTTCGGTTGTTGGTACTGAACCCGGCGTTATCTTCAGTGTTCCACTGCATCGGAGCCCGTTCATAATCCCGGCAGGTAGCAAAGAACGTACCAGTCTCGTCCTGAAAAGACGTCAGATAGGAACTTCGTTTTTTTTGTGTGTGTGTGTGTTATAGCAATGACTGTTGATTAACATTGGTGTAAAATTAGATATTGAAGTTGAACTAGTTTTTTCCACACAACTGACGACTGGAATGTCCATGGGAATCAATATATGCAGAAGCTAGTCTTGTTTTGGACCAAGGAGGTTTAAACCTCCTAGTTTGGACGATGAAGAAAAGCTGCCAAAAAGCCAGACTGGCTAAAAGACTAAGGAGAGTAATACTATATAAATGCTGGTCTATAGCTGAAGCGTGGAGTTACTTACCGTTGGATCTTCTGTGGGATCATCCGGACAGAAGGGGTCCTGAGTCTTCCCCACCTCGGGTGTGATGTCCGACATCCCGATCTCCTCTCCGTAGTACGTGGTGGGCGTGCCGGGCAGCATCAGAAGCAGCATCACCATCGCTCGAGCGTACTCCGGGTTAAACCGGTCCGGCAGACGGTGGTTGTCGTGGTTACCGAGCTAGAACAAGGGAAATAGCGACATGTCAAACATCAGTCCAGTTAATGCGATCTTGTAGTATAGATGTCATAATGGCTGTTACCTCCATGTGTGTGTGTGTGTCTGTGTGTACGTTCGTGTGCATTTGTCTGTGCTAAAGCATGGCCGTTACAATGTAGGTCTGGTTCAAATGCTATATGTGTTCAGTCTGTCCAAGAGAACGTCGATAATCACGTCTGAATTTAGTAGTGCTCGCAATTTTCACATGTGTGATTCGTTACATGACCTCCTTGACAGCAGACATACGGTGTTACAGTTTGCTTGAATTCAACGACATCAAACTCGTGCGACGAATGTATCCAAGCCGTAATTCATAATTTCCTGATGATGGATACAAAGCCTTGCCTTCAATGAAGAACCTATTATATAGCTATATAGTAACTAACACTATCATATCGAAACAAGATATTCACGGAAGTTCAAGAACGCTTACCACCCAGTTGGGCCAGCGCCGTGCCGGCACTTCCTTCAGCCACGAGTCGACCAGCTGGTGGGTCTTGGTTCCGGTCAGCTCGCTCCCCGGCAGGTTGCCGTACTTGGACGTCCCGCTGATGAGTTGGAAGTTGAACGGGAAGTCCGCCTCGACTTTCCCGTCCTTGCCGTAATACCTGGTCAGCCCCTGGGGCGGCAGATACACCTCCGTCACCATGAACCTGCGGGAAGGAAAGAAGGAGAGAAAACACGGGGTTACACTACCTGGTTTACGAGGGTTTGGTACATCCATGTTGCCTGGTAGCTGGCCCCTTTGCACTCCCAGTTAGATTTCAAACCAGACACGTATGCACGCACGCACACACACGCAAACACACGCACACACACACGCACACACACACTGGAACACATGGACACTGACGCAGAGAGAGAGAAAGGCACACTCACTTGTACACACACACACACACACACACACACACACACAGGATCTAGGAACACACATAATACTCCTGTAAACACACTCACACACACACACACATGGTCCCGAAAACATAATCTTCTCGGCAAAGGCAATCAGCCAAGCTAAGTACAACCAAGCATTTACCTGTATTTCTCCGGTTCGTTGCTATATTCTGCTAGGGCGTTGTCCCTCCAATCCTGGATGATGGCATGTAGAGCCTCCGGGTTGTACTCGAACGTGTAGTTGTGCAGTTGGCTGAAATACGGGTCCTGAGACAACAGGCAAAGAGCAATGTAAGGAAATGGTGCTTTTTCAAGAAGCTAGAGGTAATGCAAAAGTAGCTATGGATTGAATTTCAGCCTCGATGACGGAGTGACAGAAAATTCTAAGATCATATCGGACTGATTTTCAAAGTGATAAAGAATCCTGAACTCTTTATTAGACGTGAATGGGCACAAGCTCTCGTGGAGGGGGTCCATTCAGTCACTGGCAGCGAGAAATAGACTTGTACATAATGTATACCAGTTAGGCGAAGGGAAACCTACCGGAGGGCAGTTGCCTTGTGCCACACAAGGAGCGTCGGGAGCATCTGAGGAGTAGCTGGCCTCCTCCAGACCATGTCCGATGGCGTCTACTCTGAACCCGTCTACTCCCCTGGACAGCCAGGTGCGGATCACGTCCTGAAATGGTGGGGTAAAGAGTTAGACTGTACTTTAAATATAGACTTTACATGGTCTTGCTAGCAGCTAGCCATTTAAACTGTCTAAGGTCAACGCCAAGTCTCATACTGAACCAAAGCTACCACGCACACACACACACACACACACACACACACACACACACACACACACACACACACACACACACACACACACACACACACACACACACACACACACACTTATACCGTTTTCTACATGTACCTAGCCTTTCCATCATTGGTCACTTGTTTGTTTCTTGGTTTGTTTATTTGCAGTTTGCACTAAAAGACAACAATATGTGATGACTTCTATATATCTACAATTACAAATAATCTGCGGGCCAACCCAAGAAGCCTGGTGGTTCATCGAAGAGGTTACTCGTAAATAACATTTCCTTAATTACTTTTTACAAACATGTATTGTAAATTCAGAAGAAGCGAATGTTACGAAAATCACTTAATATATGTTTATTTGAGAGAAATCTCCGTCAAACTTTTTTGTTTTTCATCTTTTGTTAGATGTTCACCACATGATGACAACCACCAATTGCCGAA